AGCTGATCTTATTGGATTTATTTATTATTCTGGTCATTAGGGACCAGTGACCTTTAAGAAATCACTGCAGTGTTTAAGCCATTAATACCTTAACTCCAAATACTATGCAATGTCTATTCCACTGGAGTCCTAAGAGAAAAGGGCACAGAGGGGAGTTTTTCTTGGTGGAGAGCATGTGGCTAGATACTGTTTGGAAGGCCAGGAAGAGCCCTGGGAATAAAGAGGCTTCAGTCTGAAGATTCTGGGCATGTGTAGCAGAGAGAAGCATAACAGAAGAGCAGGAAAGCATCAGGGTAAAATAATGAAAACCATTTTACTTTCTCACCAACGATTTCTAGCAAGGTAGCTCAGAAGGGGAGAAGAGTACAGACCAAGAATTAGGGCTTCGGAGCGAGTGTGGACTCCTGTATTGACAAACCAACCGACTGAAATTTGGAACAAATCATGAACTTGACTTGAAGCCTTCTTACCTCCCTATCCCCCTGACATTTTCTTCCCTTCTAAAATTCTTTATTTTAGTGCAGCCTGGGGACAGCCTGGGAACTTTGACTGGAAAGCAATAATTCAGACATGGATGTGATGGATGTTGCTGGTTGCCTTCCCAGCCTGCATTCTCCCACATCTTTCACATGCTGTGCAGAAACCATACCATCTGGGTGGGCACGAAACCCCAGCTCCTGTGAATGGAGCTCACAGGACATAAATTAGGATAGTCCCAACCCCTTGTTGGAGTGATGGTTATAGAGATGGTTAGTATCCCAGGCCTAAGGCAACGGCTACTTGACATGTTGCTGACCACCATGATCTGTTCAGGGAAAAACTAAGTTGATCTAATCAGAGGAAGTCCAGGACTTTGTTCAGTAAGTAGGTCAAGAGAAGCTCTCTCTCCTTCAGGCAGTGTGGTGATGCCTGGACTTCAGCATTTTGCTTCCAGGAGAGAAGGCAACCTAAGTAGAAAGTTGACCCAGAGAGAAGAAAAAAAATTGAGAGATGTCCAGAGAGAGAGAGAGAGAGAGAGAGAGAGAAAAGAAAGGATGAGCATTCTGATTAATTCCTGCCTGAAGCTTAAGCTCCTTCTAGATTTTTCCATCAAAAAAGTCCACTCCCTTTGCTGTTGAAGGAAGTTTGAGCTGACTTTCCTATGCCTTGCAACCTAAAGCATCCTAGCCACAACAGCAAATGATGTATTGGGGTCAAATTTTCCATTTCTTAGGTAGATCTGAGGGGACACCCAAAATGACACAAATGAGAAGGGGACGCCTAACTGTCCTTCTGGCGTCCTCCTCTCAGCTTGATTTAGGCAGTTGGTTGCATCATTAGAAGCCAATAGGAGATGGGAAAGATTTTAAAAGTGAGGGACCATTCCAAAGAAGTAGGAGGATAACAACAGAGGAGATTAAAGAAGAAAAGAAGGAGGGAGAAGGTCGATGGACTCTTTTTTTTTT